AGGGACATTGGGGACACTGAGGGGACACTGAGGGGACATTTGGGACACTGAGGGCACATTTGGGACATTGGGGGGCATTTGGGACATTGAGGGGACATTTGGACATTGAGGAGACATTTTGGGACACTGGGGGACATTGGGGGGCATTGGGGACACCGGGGGGACATTTGGGGACACTGAGGGGACATTTGGGACACCGGGGGGCATTTGGGACACTGGGGGGATATTTGGGACACCGGGGGGCATTTGGGACACCGGGGGGACATTGGGGACACTGGGGGGACATTTGGGACACTGGGGCATTTGGGACACTGGGGAGACATTGAGGGGACATTTGGGGACACAGGGGGGACATTGGGGACCCTGGGGGGACATTTGGGACACTGAGGGGACATTTGGGACACTGGGGGGACATTGAGGGGACATTTGGGACACTGGGGGCATTTGGGACATTGAGAGGACATTGGGGACACTGCGGGACATTGGGGGCATTTGGGGACACTGAGGACACTGGGGGGCTTGGGAGGCATTGGAGGGGTCCCCCCCCCCGCACGAGTTTCTGACCCCTCTACCCCCGTGCCCCCTCCCGTGTCTCCCCCCGTGTCCCCCCATGTCCCCTCAAAAAGCTCCCCTCTGTCACAAGAGTTTTTATTAAAGTGTGACCCCCGTGTCCCCTCCGTGTCCCCTCGTGTCCCCCTATGCCCCCATATCCCCTATGTCCCCCCGTGTCCCTCATGTCCCCTGTGTCCCCGTGTCCCCGTGTCCCCCTCCATGTCCCCCTCCATGTCCCCCGTGTCCCCCCTGTGTCCCCCCGTGTCCCCCCTCGTGTCCCCTCCCAAAAGCCCCTCTCTGTCACAAGAGTTTTATTAAAGTGTGACCCCCGTGTCCCCCCATGTGTCCCCCGTGTCCCCCGTGTCCCCCAAAGCCCCTCTGTCACAAGAGTTTTTATTAAAGTGTGACCCTCTCGTGTCCCCCCTATGCCCCCATATCCCCTCGTGTCCCCTCGTGTCCCCTCGTGTCCCCTGTGTCCCCCCGTGTCCCCCTCGTGTCCCCCCCAAAAGCCCCTCTGTCACAAGAGTTTTTATTAAGTGACTCCCAATCGGGGGTGAAGGACACGGTGTTGTTTTTTGGGGGTGGGGGATGCGACACTGTGACCTCCGGGTGGGGGAGGGCGCAGGGACCCTGGCCACGCCCCTCCTCTCGGTGTCACCTCCGGGGCGGGGACAGCGGCGGGGGTCACTGCGGCTCGCTTTGGCCCCCGGGAGCTTGGGCTAGGACCCTGCGGGCACGGGGGGTCGGGGGTCAGAGGCCGCGGCACTCTGAGACCCCATGGGGGTGGGACAGGGGGGACCCTCACCTGGCTCGGAGGTGGCTCAGGTGGCTCCTCCCAGACTCAGGAACTGCTCGATCTGGGCCTGGGGACACCGGGGACATTAGAGGGGACATTAGGTGACATGAGGACATTGGGGACATTGGGGGACATTGGGGGACATTGGGGACATTGGGGGGGACATTGGGGACATTGGGGGACATTGTGGGGACATTGGGGGTACATTAGGGGACATTGGGGGCAGTTGGGGACATCAATGGGGCAGTTGGGGACATTGGGGGACATTGGGGACATTGGGGGCAGTTGGGGACATCAATGGGGGCAGTTGGGGACATCAGGCACGCTCGGTGACAAAGGAGGGGGCCGAGGGTGAACCCCACCCTCCCCACCCCCCGTGTCCCCCTCGTGTCCCCAACCACTCCTGAGCTCCCCATGTGTCCCCAGTGTCCCCCCAGTGTCCCATTGTCCCCTCATTGTCCCCATTGTCCCCCCACTGTCCCCTCATTGTCCCCCCAGTGTCCCCACTGTCCCCATTGTCCCCTCATTGTCCCCCCACTGTCCCCCCACTGTCCCCGTACCTGGTGGCGCCGGTGGAGCACGGGGAAGGTGAATGCACAGATCACACCTGGACAGGGAACGGGGTCACCTCAGGTCACCCCAGGTCACCCCAGGTCACCCCAGGTCACCTCAGGGTCACCCCAGGTCACCCCAGGTCACCCCAGGGTCACTTCAGGGTCACCCCAGGTCACCCCATGTCACCTCAGGTCACCTCAGGGTCACCACAGGGTCACCCCAGGTCACCCCAGGTCACCTCAGGGTCACCTCGGGTCACCTCAGGGTCACCCCAGGGTCACCTCAGGTCACCTCGGGTCACCTCGGGGTCACCTCAGGGTCACCTCGGGTCACCCCAGGGTCACCCCAGGGTCACCCCAGGTCACCCCAGGGTCACCTCAGGGTCACCTCAGGGTCACCCCAGGGTCACCCCAGGGTCATCTCAGGTCACCCCAGGGTCACCCCAGGTCACCAGGAGTCACCCCAGGTCACCTCAGGGTCACCCCAGGGTCACCCCAGGTCCTCAGGGTCACCCAGTACCTCAGGGCACCTAGGTCACCCCAGGTCACCCCAGGGTCACCTCAGGGTCACCCCAGGTCCTCAGCCCATCCCCCCCCATCCTAGTCCCACACTCCCATCCCCATTCCACACCCCCCATCCCATTCCCATCCCATCCCATCCCATCCCATTCCATCCCATCCTGTTCCGTACCCGCTCCGAGCAGGGTGATCCCGTTGAACACGGCCCCCACATCCCATATTTCATGTCCCATCCCATCCCAATCCCATCCCATCCCATATTTCATGTCCTAATCACATCTCATCCCATCCATCCATCCATCCCATCCCATCCCATCCCATCCCACCTAATCCCATCCCATACCCGCTCCAAGCAGGGTGGTCCCGTTGAACGCGGCCCCCACGTCCCATATTTCATGTCCCATCCCATCCCATCCCATTCCATCCCATCCCATATTTCATGTCCCATCCCATCCCATATTTCATGTCCCAATCCCACCCCAATCCCATCCCATCAATCCCATCCCATCCATCCCATCCCATCCCATCCCATCCCATCCCATCCCACACCCCCATTCCCAATCCCATCCCATACCCGCTCCGAGCAGGGTGGTCCAGTTGAACGCGGCCCCCACGTCCCATATTTCATGTCCTATCCCATATTTCATGTCCCATCCCATCCCATTCCCAATCCCATCCCATCCCATCCCAATCCCAATCCCATCCCACCCCAATCCCAATCCATACCCGCTCCGAGCAGGGTGGTCCCGTTGAAGGCGGCCCCCACGTCCCATATTTCATGTCCCATCCCAATCCCATCCCATCCCATCCCATCCCATCCCATCCCATCCCATATTTCATGTCCCATCCCAATCCCATCCCATCCCATCCCATCCCATCCCATATTTCGTGTCCCATCCCATCCCATCCCAATCCCATCCCATCCCATCCTCGCACTCGCCCGAGCAGGGTGGTCCCGTTGAACGCGGCCCCCACGTCCCATATTTCATGTCCCTGTCCCACCTCAATCCCATCCCATCCCAATCCCATCCTATATTTTGTGTCCCATCCCAATCCCATCCCAATCCCACCCCAATCCCACCCCAATCTGTACCCGCTCCAAGCAGGGTGGTCCCGTTGAAGGCGGCCCCCACGTCCCATATTTCATGTCCCTGTCCCATCCCATCCCATATTTCGTGTCCCATCCCATCCCATCCCATCCCATTCCCAATCCCAATCCGTACCCACTCCGAGCAGGGTGGTCCCGTTGAACGCGGCCCCCACGTCCCATATTTCATGTCCCATCCCATATTTTATGTCCCATCCCATCCCATCCCATCCCATATTTCATGTCCTATCCCATATTTCATGTCCCACCCCAATCCCACACCCCCAATCCCATCCCATCCCGTACCCGCTCCGAGCAGGGTGGTCCCGTTGAAGGCGGCCCCCACGTCCCATATTTTATATCCCAATCCCACACCCCCAATCCCATTCCAATCCCAACTCCCAATCTCTAAGTAGGTGGTCCGTTGAAGCGGTCCCATCCCATATTTCATGTCCCAATCCCATCCCAATCCCAATCTGTACCCGCTCCAAGCAGGGTGGTCCCGTTGAAGGCGGCCCCCACGTAGGTCAGCAGGTACAACAGGAAGGCGAACTGAAGTGAAGGGACACCGGCCCTGTCACTGTCACTGTCACTGTCACTGTGTCACTGTCACTGTCACTGTCACTGTCCCTGTGTCACTGTCACTGTGTCACTGTCACCATCACTGTCACTGTCCCTGTGTCACTGTCACTGTGTCACTGTCCCTGTGTCACTGTCCCTGTCATTGTCACTGTGTCACTGTCCCTGTCACTGTGTCACTGTCCCTGTGTCACTGTCACTGTGTCACTGTCCCTGTGTCACTGTCCCTGTCACTGTGTCACTGTCCCTGTCACTGTCACTGTCACTGTGTCACTGTCACTGTCACTGTCACTGTGTCACTGTCACTGTGTCCCTGTGTCACTGTCCCTGTGTCACTGTCACTGTCACTGTCCACTGTCTAGTCACTGTCACTGTGTCACTGTCACTGTGTCACTGTGTCACTGTCACTGTGTCACTGTCCTGATGTCACTGATCACTGTCACTGGCTGCTCACTGTCACTGTCACTGTCACTGCTGTCACTGTCACTGTGTCACTGTCCCTGTCACTGTCCCTGTCCCTGTCCTGTCCCTGTCACTGTCCCTGTCCCTGTCCCTGTCCCTGTCACTGTCCCTGTCCCTGTGTCACTGTCACTGTCCCTGTGTCACTGTCCCTGTCCCTGTCACTGTCACTGTGTCACTGTCCCTGTGTCACTGTCCCTGTCACTGTGTCACTGTCACTGTGTCACTGTCACTGTCACTGTGTCACTGTCCCTGTGTCACTGTCACTGTGTCCCTGTGTCACTGTCCCTGTGTCACTGTCACTGTGTCACTGTCACTGTGTCACTGTCACTGTGTCACTGTCATCATCACTGTCACCATCACTGTCACTGTCACTGTCTCTGTGTCACTGTGTCACTGTGTCATTGTCACTGTGTCACCATCACTGTCACTGTCACTGTCACTGTGTCACTGTCACTGTCACTGCACTCACTGTCCCTGTCCCTGTGTCACCCAGGGACCCCCTCGTTTCCCATGCCCACCCTTGACTCCCAACTGCGGCCACCGCCCGTGTCTCCCTGTGTCTCCCATGTCCCTACGCTCCCAGGCCCCAGTGCCCCCCAGGTGCCCCTCTGTGTCCCACATGTCTCTACACCCCCTGTGTCCCCACTCTACACGTCTCGCTCCCTGCCTCTCAGTGTCTCCTCCCTGTATCCCCATGTCTCCCACCCCCATGTCCCTCGATGTCCCCCATGTCCCCACAGCCCCCAGTGCCCCCAGTACCCCCAGTGCTCCCCCGTGTCCCCCGTGTCACCTTGAGGGACTGGGGGACGCTGTGCACGAGGAAGAGCCGGGTCAGGGTCTGGGCGGCGGCGGCGCCGTGACGGGCCAGGACCCTCGCCCAGCGCTGCTGCTGCTCGGGGGTGAGGGGCCAGGGACAGCCCTGGGGACAGGGGGACATCAGGACAGCCCTGAGGCCCGGGGGACATCAGGGACATGGGGGGGACATCAGGGACACCCACAGGGACCAGCGCTGCTGCTGCTCGGGGGTCAGGGGCCAGGGGACAGCCCTGGGGACATTGGGGACATCAGGGACAGGGGGACACCCACAGGGCCCAGCGCTGCTGCTGCTCGGGGGTCAGGGGCCAGGGGACAGCCCTGGGGACAGGGGGACATCAGGGACAGCCCTGGGGACATCAGGGACAGCCCTGGGGACACCCCCAGGGCCCAGCGCTGCTGCTGCTCGGGGTCAGGGCCAGGGGACAGCCCTAGGGACAGTGGGGACATGGGGACACCTGGGGACATCCGGGGACAGGGGGGACATCAGGGACAGGGGACATCAGGGACAGCCCACAGGGACATGGGGGACACCCAGGGACAGGGGACACCCACAGGGACCAGCGCTGCTGCTGCTCGGGGGAGAGGGGCCAGGGGACAGCCCTGGGGACAGGGGGACATCAGGGGGACATTGGGGACATCAGGGACAGCCCTGGGGCCAGGGGACAGCCCTAGGGACATTGGGGACAGGGGGGGGACATCAGGGACACCCACAGGGACCAGCGCTGCTGCTGCTCGGGGGTCAGGGGCCAGGGGACAGCCCTGGGGACATCGGGGACAGGGGGGGGACATCAGGGACAGCCCTGGGGACACCCCCAGGGACCAGCGCTGCTGCTGCTCGGGGGAGAGGGCCAGGGGGGACACTGGGACATTGGGGACATCGAGGGACAGCCTGGGGACAGGGACAGCCGGGGACATTGGGGACAGGGGGACATCAGGGGACAGCCCTGGGGACATGGGGACAGCCGGGGACACCCACAGGGCCCAGCGCTGCTGCTGCTCGGGGGTCAGGGGCCAGGGGACAGCCCTGGGGACAGGGGGACAGCCCTGGGGACAGGGGGGGACATCAGGGACAGGGGGACACCCACAGGGACAGGGGGACACCCACAGGGCCCAGCGCTGCTGCTGCTCGGGGGTCAGGGGCCAGGGGACAGCCCTGGGGACAGGGGGGACATGGGGGACACGGACAGCCCTGGGGACAGGGGGGACATGCAGGGACAGGGGGACACCCACGGGACAGGGGGACACCACAGGGCCCAGGGCACGCTGCTGCTCAGGGGTGTCATGGGCCAGGGGACAGCCCTGGGGACATGGGGGACATCGGGACAGCCTGGGGACAGCCCTGGGGACAGGGGGACACCCACAGGGCCCAGGGCTGCTGCTGGCTGGGGTGACGGGCCAGGGGACAGCCCTGGGGACAGGAGGACATCAGGGACAGGGGGACACCCACAGGGACAGGGGGACACCCACAGGGACCAGCGCTGCTGCTGCTGGGGTCATGGGGGACCAGGGGACAGCCCTGGGGACATTGGGGACATCAGGGACAGCCCTGGGGACAGGGGGGACATCGGGGACATGGGGGGACATCAGGGACACCCGCAGGGACCAGCGGCTGCATGCTGCTCGGGGGTCATGGGGCCAGGGGACAGCCCTGGGGACACCCACAGGGACAGGGGGACATCAGGGACAGCCCTGGGGACACCGACAGGGACAGGGGGCACATGGGACCAGCGCTGCTGCTGCTCGGGAGTCAGGGGCCAGGGGACAGCCCTGGGGACAGTGGGGACATGGAGGACAGGGGGACAGCCCTGGGGACAGGGGACATCCACAGGGACAGGGGGGACACCCACAGGGCCCACGCTGCTGCTGCTCGGGGGTACAGGGGACAGGGGACAGCCCTGGGGACAGGGGACATCAGGACAGGGGACATGGGGACATCAGGGACAGGGCCAGGGGACACCACAGGGACAGGGGGGACACTCAGGGGACAGGGGGACACCGGGGACAGGGGACAGGGGGACAGTGCTGGGGACAGGGGGACACCGACAGGGGACAAGGGGCTGACAGGGGGGACATCGGGGACGTGGGGACAGGGGCCAGAGGACAGGGGGACATGGGGACATTGGGGACAGTGGGGACAGGGGGGGACATGGGGACAGGGGGACATGGGGACAGGGGACATGGGGGACAGGGGGGACATGGGGACAGGGGGACACTGGGGACAGGGGGGACACATGGGGACAGGGGGGACATGGGGACATGGGGACAGTGGGGACAGGGGGACATTGGGGACAGGGACATGGGGGACATTGGGGACAGGGGGGACATTGGGGACATGGGGGACATGGGGACAGGGGGGACATGGGGACAGGGGGACAGCTGGGGACATTGGGGACATGGGGGACATTAGGGGACATGGGGACATGGGGACATGGGGGACAGTGGGGACATGGGGACAGGGGACATGGGGACATTGGGGACAGGGGGACATTGGGGACATGGGGGACATGGGGACATTGGGGACACGGGGGGACATTGGGGGACATGGGGACAGGGGACATTGGGGACATGGGGGACATTGGGGACATGGGGACATTGGGGACATGGGGGGACATGGGGGACATTGGGGACAGGGGGGACATTGGGGACATTGGGACAGGGGACATTGGGGACAGGGGACATGGGGACAGTGGGGACATGGGGGACAGGGGACATGGGGGGACATTGGGGACATGGGGGACATTGGGGACATGGGGGACATTGGGGACAGGGGGACACTGGGGACAGGGGACATTGGGGACAGGGGACAGGGGGACATTGGGGACAGGGGAGACATTGGGGACAGGGGGGACATTGGGGACATGGGGACAGGGAGGGACATTGGGGACAGAGGGGACATGGGGACAGGGGGGACAGGGACAGGGGACATTGGGGACATGGGGACAGTGGGGACAGGGGGGATATGGGGACAGGGGGACAGGGGGACACAGGGGACAGGGGACATGGGGGACACTGGGGACGTGGGGACATGGGGGACAGTGGGGAGCAGCGGACAGGGGGACATGGGGACAGTGTTGGGGACAGGGGACATTGGGGACAGGGGGACATTGGGGACAGGGGGGACATGGGGGACAGGGGACAGGGGGGACATTGGGGACAGGGGGACATGGGGGACAGGGGACAGGGGGAGGACATTGGGGACAGGGGGGACATTGGGGACATGGGGGACATGGGGGTCTCACACGCGAGGGGCTACCGGGGACAGTGGGTGACATGGGGCCAGGGGACATGGGGACAGGGGACAGGGGACATTGGGGACAGAGGGGACATGGGGACAGGGGGACAGGGGACATTGGGGACAGGGGGGACATCAGGGACACGGGGGACATGGGGACAGGGGACATTGGGGACAGGGGGACATGGGGACATTGGGGACAGGGACAGGGGGACATGCCGGGACAGGGGACTCACGGGGACAGTGGGCGCAGCAGCAGGGGACAGGGGACATTGGGGACAGGGGACAGGGTACAGGGAGACATGGGGACAGGGGGACATTGGGGACAGGGGACAGGGGACATTGGGGACAGGGGACAGGGACAGGGGACACTGGGGACAGGGGACACTGGGGACAGGGGGACAGGGGGACATGGGGACATTGGGGACAGGGACATTGGGGACAGGGGACATGGGGACATTGGGGACAGGGGACAGGGGGGACATTGGGGACAGGGGACATTGGGGACAGGGGACAGGGAGGGGACCACGCGGGGGGACATGGGGACAGCAGGGACAGGGACAGGGGACATTGGGGACAGGGGGACAGGGGACATTGGGGACAGGGGGACATGGGGGACAGGGGGACATGGGGACAGGGGGACATTGGGGACAGGGGACATTGGGGGACAGGGGGGACATGGGGACAGGGGGGACACAGCAGGGACAGGGGGACAGGGGGACAGGGGGACATTGGGGACAGGGACAGGGGACATTGGGGACAGGGACAGGGGGACAGGGGGTCTCTCACCGCAGGGCTCAGGGCGGTGGGGACAGTCGCAGGACAGAGGGGACATTGGGGACAGGGGGGACATGGGGACAGGGGACAGGGGACACCCACAGGGGACAGGGGGGGTCCTCACCGCGGTGGGGGCCATGGGTGGCACAGCAGCCGAGGGCCAGGGGGACATTGGGGACAGGGGGACAGGGGGGACATTGGGGACAGGGGGACATTGGGGACAGGGACAGGGGGGACATTGGGGACAGGTACAGGGGGTCTCTCACCGCGGGGGGCTCCGGGGGCAGTGGGCGCAGCAGCCGCAGGGCCAGGGGACATTGGGGACAGGGGGGACAGGGGGGACATTGGGGACACGGGGGGACATTGGGGACAGGGCCAGGGGGACAGGGGGGACAGGGGGGTACAGGGGGGTCTCTCACCGCGGGGGGGGCTCCGGGGGCGGTGGGCGCAGCAGCCGCAGGGCCAGGCGGCGCAGGCGGAGGGGGACGGTGACCCCCAGCACCCCCAGGGCCCCGTAGGCGCCCACCGAGACGGCGCTGAAGCGGGACAGGCACCCCAGTGACACCAGTGACACCAGTAACGCCAGCGCCGAGCGCGCCGGCGCCCGCCAGGACAGCAGCTGCCACACTGGGGGAGGGGACACCCAGTGACACCAGTGCCTGCCCAGTGCCCTCCCAGTGCCCCCAGTGCCCGGCCTGACCCCCAGTGCCCTCCCAGTGACACCAGTGACACCAGTAACGCCAGCGCCGAGCGCGCCGGCGCCCGCCAGGACAGCAGCTGCCACACTGGGGGAGGGGGGGGACACCCAGTGACACCAGTGCCTCCCCAGAGACCCCCCAGTGCCCTCCCAGTGCCCTCCCAGTGCCTCCCAGTGCCCCCCAGTGCTTCCCCAGTGCCCTCCCAGTGACACCAGTGACACCAGTGCGCCAGCGCCAGAGCGCGCCGGCGTCCTGCCAGGACAGCAGCTGCCACACTGGGGGAGGGGGGGACACCCAGTGACACCAGTGCCTCCAGTGCCCCCCAGTGCCCCCAGTGCCCCAGTGCCCCCAGTGCCTCCCAGTGACACCAGTAACGCCAGGCGCGCCGAGCGAAGCCCGCCAGGACAGCAGCTGCCACCACTGGGGAGGGGACACCAGTGACACCAGTGCCTCCCCAGAGACCCCCCCAGTGCCCTCCCAGTGCTCCCAGTGCCCTCCCAGTGCTCCCAGTGCCCTCCCAGTGCCTCCCAGTGACACCAGTAACGCCAGCGCCGAGCGCGCCGGCGCCCGCCAGGACAGCAGCTGCCACACTGGGGGGGGGGACACCCAGTGACACCAGTGCCTCCCAGTGCCTCCCAGTGCCCTCCCAGTGACACCAGTGCCTCCCAGTGCCCTCCCAGTGACACCAGTGACACCAGTAACGCCAGCGCCGAGCGCCGGCGCCTGCCAGGACAGCAGCTGCCACACTGGGGAGGGGGACACCCAGTGACACCAGTGCCTCCCAGTGCCCTCCCAGTGCCCCCCCAGTGCCCGACCTAACCCCCCCAGTGCCCTCCCAGTGCCTCCCAGTGACACCAGTGCCGCCACTGGTGCTGCCCCAAAGACCCCCCAGTGCTCTCCAAGTGCCTCCCAGTGCCCTCCCTGTGCTCCCAGTGCCCTCCCAGTGCTCCCAGCACCCTCCCAGTGCCCTCCCAGTGCTCCCAGTGGCCCCCCAGTGCCTCCCAGTGCCCCCCCAGTGCTCCCAGTGCCTCCCAGTGCTCCCAGTGCCCCCCCAGTGCTCCCAGTGCCTCCCAGTGCTCCCAGTGCCCCCCCAGTGCTCCCAGTGCCTCCCAGTGCCTCCCAGTGCCCCCAGTGCTCCCAGCACCCTCCCAGTGCCCCCCCAGTGCCTCCCAGTGCTCCCAGTGCCCGACCTGGCCCTCCATGTCCCCGCGGTGTTGCTGGGTGGAGCGGGGGTCCCCCTATTTTTACCCTCCAACCGCTCTGGGACTCTCCGGACCCTCCTCCCGCGAAACCGGACCCGGGGCCCCCGCGACCTCCCACCCCCCGCGCGCTGATTGGCCGCTCACCCTGCCCGTCAGCGCCTCGCCGCGCTCGCTGATTGGTCCGGGGCGCCGGGGGCGGGGCCGAGGGCGGGGGGCTCCGGGGTCGCGGGGGCAGGCAGAGGTGGGAGGGCTGATGAGAGAAAGGGGGAGATCAGGGGCCTGGATCACGTCGATCCTGAGACCCTCCCTCCCCCATGGCCCTGAGACTCCCCGATGCCCCCCACCTCTGAGGTCTCGAGACCCCCTTGGGCACCTGCATGAGACCCCCATTGAGACCTCCCAAAGCCTCCTCGGGAGTCCCCAGACCCTTCAAGAACCCTGAGCCTCCCCCAATTGGAGACCCCTCCCAAAACCCCTGGGGGTCCCCAGACCCTTCATAAACCCCGATCCTCCCATTGGAGACCCCTCCCCAAACACTCCCGGGAGACCCCCAGACCCTTTAAAAACCCCGGACCCCTCCAATTGGAGACCCCTCCCCAAAACCCCCAGGGGACCCCAGACCCTTTAAAACCCCGAGCCTCCCAGGGACCCCAACTGCCCGATGGGTGCCCCGCCCCCCAGGGACCCCCATTCCCCCCTCCCCCTTACCCAGGCTGGGCGGGGTCTCCCCATCCTCGGGCCCCCAACTCCGGCAGGACCCCCTCCCCAGCCGCCCCGGGGTGGCCGGGGCTCCTCGGGGCGTTTCGGGGGCTCTGGCGGCCGCGCGGGGGTCCGGCCCCGGGGACCCCCGAGCTCAGGCGGGGGCGCGGCCCCGGCAGGGGTCTCGGCGGCAGCGGGGGGCCCGGCTCGGTTTGGGGTCCCCTGCCCTGAAGGCGATGTAGGAGAAGGTGAGTTCCCGGGGGTCCCCGAGGTGACTCCGCCGCCGCCGCCGCCCCCGGCTTCGTCCTCATCCTCCTCCTCCTCCTCGGGGGCTCCGGCGGCGCCAGCTCGGGAACTCCGAGTCCTCGTTGCCACCTGCGGGGGGATTTGGGGGGTTCAGGGGGGTCATGCCCACCCCTCTCCCCAAAGCCGCCCCCAAACCCCGGGGCTTCGGCCCCGCTCACCCTCCGTGGAGTCCGGCGTGGTGGAGGCCGTCGATGGAGCCTCTTCTGGAAGGTGGGGGGCACGGGGGCGTGGGGGCCGTGAGACCCCTCTCCTCCCCCTCCCCCCAAAACCTGCTCCCTCCTTCCCCGGGACCCCAGACCTGCTCCGATCTCCCCCGCGCCCCCACCCCCGCTCCCCAAACCTGATCCCTCCCTTCTCAGAGACCCCCAGGAGGTCGCTGAGCCCGCCCCGAACCCAGCCCACCCTCCCGGTGTCCCGTTCCCGATGTCCCGTTCCCGGTGCCTCCATCCCACTAATTCCCGATCCCCCCATTCCGGTGCCTCCATCCCGGTCATTCCCGATCCCCCATTCCCGGTGCCCCCATCCCGGTTCCCGTTTCCCCAGCGCCTCCCGGTACCGGCGCCCCGGATCGCTTTGTCCCCGGTACCTCCCGGTGCCCCCTCCCCGTTCCCGCGGCCCCGGCCCCTCCCGGTGACTCCCGGTCCCTCCATCCCCGGTAACTCCCGGTCCCTCCATCCCCGGTGACTCCCGGTCCCTCCATCCCCGGTAACTCCCGGTTCCTCCATCCCGGCTCCCGGTTCCTCCATCCCCGGTGACTCCCGGTTCCTCCATCCCCGGTGACTCCCGGTCCCTCCATCCCCGGTAACTCCCGGTTCCTCCATCCCCGGTAACTCCCGGTGCTCCCATCCCTGGCCCCTCCCAGTCCCTCCATCCCCCGCCCCTCCCGGTCCTTCCATCCCCGGTCCCTCCCGGTGCCCCCCATGCCCGGCTATCCCCGGCCCCTCCCTGTCCCCGGTGCCGGTTCCCGGTGCCTCCATCCCCGGCCCTTCCCGGTGCCGGTTCCCGGTTCCCGGTGCCCCGACCCGCGGCCACTCCCCGTCCCTCCATCCCCGGCCCCTCCCGGTTCCCGGTGCCTCCATCCCCGGTCCTTCCATCCCTGGCCCCTCCTGGCTCCCGGTGCCTCCATCCCCGGTCCTTCCATCCCTGGCCCCTCCTGGCTCCCGGTGCCTCCATCCCCGGTCCTTCCATCCCTGGCCCCTCCTGGCTCCCGGTGCCTCCATCCCCGGTGCCTCCCGGTCCTTCCATCCCCGGTGCCTCCATCCCTGGCCCCTCCCGGTTCCCGGTTTTTGGTTCCCATCCCCGGTGCCTCCCGATCCCCGGCCCCTCCCGGCTCCCGGTCCCTCCATCCCCGGCCCCTCCCGGTTCCCGGTGCCTCCATCCCCGGTGCCTCCCGGTCCCTCCATCCCCGGTCCCTCCCGGTTCCCGGTGCCTCCATCCCTGGCCCCTCCCGGTGCAGGTTCCCGGTTCCCAGTGCCTCCATCCCCGGCCCCTCCCGGCTCCCGGTGCCTCCCGATCCCCGGCCCCTCCCCGCTGCCACTCGCGGTTCCCGTTCCCGTTCCCTATTCCCGTTCCCGGTTCCCATTCCCGTTCCCGGTTCCCATCCCCGTTCCCGTCCCCGTCCCCGTTCCCGGTTCCCGGTCCGTACTGCAGTGGGCGAAGCCCAGGACCTGCCCCATGGCGGCGGCCCCCGCATGGGGCTCGCGGTGTCCGCCGGCCCCGCCGCGCCCGGAGCGGCCCCGCGGCGCATCACGGCAGCACCGGCGCCATGGCGGGCACCGGGAGCAGCTCCGGCAGCGGCTCCGGGAGCAGCTCCGGCACGGCCAGGCCGGGCTCCGGGAGCGGCTCCGGCAGCGGCTCCGGGCCGGGCTCCGGGAGCGGCTCCGGGAGCGGCTCCGGGAGCGGCACCGGGAGCGGCTCCGGCAGCGGCACCGGGAGCGGCTCCGGCACAGCCGGGCCGGGCTCCGGGAGCGGCTCCGGCACGGCCGGGCCGGGCTCCGGCAGCGGCTCCGGCAGCGGCTCCGGCAGCGGCTCCGGCAGCGGCGGCGCCGGGGCGGGCACCGGGCACGGACAAAGGGCGGCGGCGGTGGCGGTGGCGGCGGGGAGGGAGGAGGAGGAGGGAGGAGGAGGGGAGAGGCGGGGAGGGGGCGGGGCCGATCGGCGGGGAAGGGGAAGGGGAACGGGCACCGGAGGCGCGGGAACCGGGAACCGGCACCGGGAACGGGCACCGGGAACCGGCACCGGGAACGGGCACCGGAGACGCGGGAAGCGGGAACCGGCACCGGGAACCGACACCGGGAACCGGGAACGGGCACCGGGAACGGGCACCGGGAACCGGCACCGGGAATGGGCACCGGAGAAGTGGGAACCGGAGAAGCGGGAACCGGGAATCGGCACGGGAGAGCTGGGAACCGGCACCGGGCACCGGGAACGGGCACCGGAGAGCACCGGGAATCGGCACCGGGAACGGGCACCGGGAACGGGCACCGGAGAGCTGGGAACCGGCACCGGGAATCGGCACCGGGAATCAGGAACCGGCACCGGGAAAGGGCACTGGGAATTGAGCACCGGAGAGCTGGGAACCGGTACCGGGAACCGGGAATCGGTACCGGGAACCGGCACCGGCACCGGAGAGCTGGGAACCGGCACCGGAGAGCACCGGGAATCGGCACCGGGAACGGGCACCGGGAAGCAGCCCCGGCACCGGAGCTCTCCAGTTCCCCTCGGAGTCCCCAGTCCCTCCCAGTGCTCCCAGTCCCTCCCAACGCCGCCCTGTACCTGGTGCCTCCCAGTACCGCCCATTGCCACCCAGTCCCTCCCAGTACCGCCCAGTACCGCCCAGTGCCTCCCCGGGCACCCGGGACCCTCCTAGTGCCTCCCAGTGCCTCCCAGTACCGCCCAGTGCTTCCAGGACCCTCCCCAGTGGCCCCAGGAGCGTCCCCGGTACCTCCCCAGTACCTCCCAGTGCCTCCCCAGTATGTCCCAGTGCCTCCCAGTGGGTCCAGGACCGTCCCCAGGACTCTCCCAGTGCCCCCTCCACTACTCCCCAGTGCCCGGAACTGGAGGGCGGGTGGGACACTGGGAGGGCACTGGTGTTACTGGGAGGACACTGGGAGGACACTGGGAGGACACTGGTGTTACTGGTGTTACTGGGAGGGCACTGAGAGGGCACTGGGAAGGCACTGGTGTTACTGGGAGGGCACTGGGAGGGCACTGGTGTTACTGGTGTTACTGGTCCTGCCCCGCCGCCGTTACCGAGGGGGGCGTGGCCGGACGGGGAAGGGGGCGTGGTCTGTGCGGGGAGGGAGGAGCTTGGCTCGTGATGGGCGTGTCCCGATGGGCGGGGCGTGCTCCGGGAGGGGCGTGGCCTCCCGCCGGGCCCCGCCCCCGCCGCCACCGGAAGGGCCCAAACCGGCCCCGGCCGCCAGTATGAGGTGACTGGGAGCACTGGGAGCACTGGGACAGCCGGGAACGGGCGCTGGGAGCGGGAACTGGGAGCGCTGGGAGCGCTGGGAGCTGGAACTGGGAGCGCTGGGAGCACTGGGAGCGGGAACTGGGGGCACTGGGAGCCCGGGAGCGGTCCTGGGGGACTGGGAAGTGCCGGGAGCAGGAACTGGGAGCGCTGGGAGCGCTGAGAGCAGGAACTGGGAGCGCTGGGGGCACTGGGAGCGGGAACTGGGAGCACTGGGAGCGCTGAGAGCAGGAACTGGGGGCACTGGGAGCGGGAACTGGGAGCGCCGGGGTCGGTCCTGGGGGACTGGGAAGTACCGGGCATCGGAACTGGGAGCGCTGGGAGCAGGAACTGGGGGCACTGGGAGCGCTGGGAGAACCGGACATCGGTGCTGGGAGCGCTGGGACGGCAACTGGGAGCACTGGGGGCTCCCGGGAACCGGTACTGGGAGCGAGAACTGGCGGCACTGGGAGCGCCGGGAACGGGCGCTGGGAGCGCTGGGCAGCTCCGGGAACGGGAACTGGGAGCACTGGGAAGTCCCGGGGACGGGAACTGGGAGCACTGGGAGCACTGGGAAGGGGGTGTTGCGGGCACTGGGAGCACTGGGAGCGCGCGCTGGGGAGGCACTGGGAGCACTGGGGGCACCAGTAACCGCACGGGGGGCGCCGGTAACGGGCGCTGGGAGGAACCAGTACCGGGCGTTGGGGGGCACTGGGCGGCACTGGGAGCGCCGGGAAGCGGTACTGGGAGCACTGGGGATCCCCGGGGATCGGCACTGGGAGCACTGGGGAGGGCACCGGGAGCACTGGGGACCCCCGGGGATCGGTACTGGGGGGCACTGGGGGGCACTGGGATCGGTACTGGGAGCACTGGGAAGGGCACTGGGGGCACTGGGGATCCTCGGGGATCGGCACTGGGGGGCACTGGGGAGGGCGCTGGGAGCACTGGGGACCCCCGGGGATCGGCACTGGGGGGCACTGGGGAGGGCACTGGGAGCACTGGGGATCCACGGGGATCGGTACTGGGAGCACTGGGGATCACTCGGGATCGGTACTT